TGTCTGTGAAGACTCGAAGCGAATGTTTTTAGGACGGAGGTTTTCTGTAGGTTATATTAATTAATAGGCACCCAAATTCAATAACAGTTTCTTGCGTAACGGCCGGTTTCTGAATTGAGAAAGTACAAAATCTAAACTTATTATTCTCAATAACTTAAGTTTTTTTACGTTTTATATGGCGAAAAGATCTTGTTGTATTAAATTGCTATCAACTGATCATTAAAAAATTAGAAATCAGTAATGAGAACCTGTTTAATTGACGTTTACAGTGGCTTGAGTACGGTTTGAGACGTGCTCAATTTCAAATTCTCAATTCAGAAACCGAGTGTAAGTAGCTTTTAAGATAAGTATTATTTATCACTTTAGAAAAGTGTGAACTCGATTGTATTTGTTGAAAAAGTTATAATTATGTATGTAAATATGTTAAAATTTATAAAAAATATAATTTAACCTGTTGGATTAGTGCACATATAATAATTCAAAAGCTGCGATTTTCATATCACTACGTACCGTACGTATTGACTGTTGTAAATGTTCTATTGTTATCTTTCTAATCTGACGTCAGTCTACCACAATATGTCAAATTTCCTAAAGTGATTTTGTACTTTACTCTCAATATGTTATGGTTTAAAATCAAATAGAGAAATTTTGACAGTTTTGTATAACCTTACGTGCAGTTCACTGTACCATGCCTAGGGCATTTCCCTTAGCCTAGGGCTAGGGTTGCTCGGTAGAGACTACCTTGGAAATAAGGCTGTGTTTTTTTTTTGTTTACGAATATCGTTTTGTGTAATTTATGGAAATGTTAATATATAAATTAATTTATAAAGTATTATATCTACATTTCGTTTGAGGTCAATGTAGTATTGCAGAAAAACTATTTTTTTACATTGCTAATTATTTCTTAGTACTTAAAACACGATAAACCCTATGTTCTAGGATTACGAGCTAAATTACATGGTACATAGTTGGTGCTTTGTTACTTTAGTTTTACGTTATAATAAAATATTTACCTATCTGGCGTTGTAAGTGATAGAACAAATTAGAATAAAATCAACTTTAAACGTCATTAAAACAAAAACAAGATGAGTCAGTAGCGCAAAAGACGGCCTTATAGCTCGGCAGCTTTTTTTTGGCAACTGTCAGTGATTGATTTGAAATGGATAAGTCGTTTTAATTAAATAAACGACGATTAAATAAACGACGAATTAGTAAATTTTGGAAGTAAACTTTGGAAGTACATATTTACTTTAAAAAAAAATGAAATTAGATCTCGAAAATGACATTTTGAATATAATACCGGTTAGAATTATGTTCAAAACAAAAATAACACAAACTATCTAACTATTAAGGCATCACAAATGATAACAATGTGTACATACCGAGAAGGCAAAATGGTGTATTGTGTAATTTCAAAATCCGTTCTAATTTCAGTTCCACGCGTGTCGTGCAGATACCGACTAACGTATCGCGGAGACGCGAGTGGACGTAAACTCCTTGGTAAAACCACGACCGTGAATGAATTACAAAATACAATCGTGATGCAGTACTCAGTATCGCGCTGCATCGGCGATTTTCCGCGCGCACACAACAACGCACCTCTTTCGCGCGCCCACTGCTCCTTCTTCTGTTGTACCAACGACGTCGGCTTGCTCACTGACAGCATCGCACCACACTATACATTACACTTTCTAATGTCCCGTATTGCACACACTGCGTTTCTTCCGACCGCAACGCAGTTACGGTGCACCGGCTAATGAGTGCTTTGCGAGTGCTTTTAAAAACGGATGCCCGCGCATCGCTGGCCGTCCGTCGCGGTTCGTTTCGCACGTGCACTCATTGTCCCTAGCTGGACCCGCCTATCTTCTATCCCACGGATAACAATCATATTTTCAAATTAACGGTACATTACATGGAACTCGATAATGGATAGGTTACATAAACGAAGCACCAACAAGTCCGCTGTATACAACGATCTGCCTCATACGTCCACATGTCCAATATTTTAGCCTTTATTGTTTCAGCGTGCGTCACGCGAATGAGAGTTTCAGACGAAAGCCTCGGAAAAGCCGCCGGTCGATAAAGTAGTCATGGTAACGTTTGTTTCACGTGTTCTGGGGATTCGTGGAATTCTTTTCTGATTTGCATTTCAGGCCATTAACCATCATGAACATAGAGTGGGGATTAATTGTAACAATAACATACTACAGATGTAGTTATTGGCATACTTTGCATACAAACGACTACTAGGTACAGTATTAGTTTATGGAAATTGCTGAATATTTTAGTTTTTACTAAAACGTTTCAGGCTTCATTTAATCGACAAATCCATGCATCCACCAACGATTTCTGTGGATAATTTTCATTAGACTGACTGACTAATGAAAATAATCCACAGAAATCGCTAGTGCCCAAGATGTTAACGAACGATACATTAGCGCGACAAGCGATTAGGCTAAAACAACCATTAAAATAAGGGCCACATGAGCTAAAATGTGTAAATAAAATTTATTTGTTGTAAGGGTATTGCTAAATGCGTAGATTTAGACGCTTTGTAGCCGAGGGTCGGGTTTCAGAAGTTTTTTTATAATAATTACAACGATTTGTTGTAAATAATTGAATTGATGAATCCGACAATGTCTTCTTAACGTAATTCCTATGAGGCGAATAAATTGTTGCAAGTTTTCCCTGGAGTACCTACGCACTGCTTTATGTATGCAGCAGACTATAAATGTTTGTGAAAGTGTAAAGTACAAATAGAAATGGTAGATAATACATACTATGTGTAATATGTTGTCAGTGGCGAAGCTATACCGTCTGAGGCCCGTGATGAATTCATCGGATATTAATTTTTTTTTACTTATTGCGTAATCATAAATATCAGGACTAAGGAGTCTCCTCTGTCCGGGGATCCCTTCCAGCTGGGGGCCCGTGGCATTTCGCTGACTTGCCGACCCTGTAGTTACGCCACTGTATGTTGTGTATAATAAATACTTATTGCTGTTACACTAGTTAATGACATCAGAGTGCGGCGTGCAGGCGATTTATATTCTTTGCTTTCATTGGTCGGTTATTATTTACCACTAGCTGTGCCCGTGACTTTGTCAGCGTGCAAAGTAGCCTAAGTTACCTCTTTTGGCAGAAGCTATCTGCTAGTGAAAGTCCCATCAAAATCGGTCCAACCGTTTCAGAGATTAGCCGAAACAGACGGACAAAAAATGATGTTTTTTTATATGTGCCATGTATTTTAATTTTAGAAACAGACACTCCAATTTTATCTGTTTGTATATTTGAGATGAGCGCGTGGTAAGGTCCTCGAGTGGTAAGGCTCCGGCGGCGGTATTTTTTTGGTCCTTCATTCGTTTCATTTGATTCATTAAATTGAAATGAATTAGTTTCGGAGATAAACAAGTTTTTGAGGCGTTGCTGGGTTGACGTCAGTCTGTCAGCGCCACGCTATATCTTCTTAACTATAGCACCCTAGCCAGTTGCTATAGTACCTGTAAGGGGTTGAGTCGACTAGTTAAGTATACTGAACAACTTTTACTATAAGAGCAACACTGAATTCACCAAAAAATAATCGACAGTTTCATACAAAATTGTAATACCTAAAATCGTTGACAGTATGAAACAGCTGATATTTTTCTTCAATCCAGTATTGCTTCCATAACAAAAGTTGTTCAGTATACTTAACTAGTTCACCCCACGAAGTCCTGGAATATAATAATATTTCACCTTATATTTTTTATTAAGACGAGTGGCAATGTACGCGCGTAACATTGTAGTATCGCCGCTGATGTGCATCTGGACTGAGTGATCCTTTTGCAATTTTCAACAAAACCAAAACGTACATTTAGTCAATTTTGTCAAAACTCGTAACCGAAATCAAAAAATTTGTCACTCTTAAGCGATCGAAGATATTGCCCAATATGTGGATCACTCAATTCAGACATTAGAGAAACCACAAATGTTTATAGTTAAAAAGTTATGTCCAATCAAAGCTTTTTAAATTTTCTGAATTGAGTGATCCTTATAAACGCATGTAGATAACATCCCCTTGTCATAATTTTAAATACAAAATACGTTGAAAATTTGTACAACATTGTGACTAGAATTTGGCATATAATTTATTTGTTAACGTCATTTTATTCACGAGATATTCGTTTTTAAATTTTTTGTTAAAGAAATATACAGTGGGGTGACCATATTAAAAGAATTTAAGAAACAATAACATCTTAGACAAAGTACATCGAGTACACTTAATAGTCCAAAAACTGTTTTAGATGGTAAAAGTTGTTCGTTTACATTAGACGTTGATACCTATGATTAAAAAAAAATAACGCCATTATATTTAAGGAGGAAAAAATCTCACTCAGGTCATTATCAGAGATATGAGACGGTACCAAAATTCAAATGGTCAGACATGTTAAAGGAAAAGATATGGCTAAATTCGAAGGTACCATGCACTTGGATTTTGAAGAAGTATAAAGTTCAGGATGACACCCTAAAATTTAAAGGAAAATGTTCTCAATGTAGTGCAAAGATTGAAATAGCAACTTTGAATCACACTGATAAAATACATACGTTTATCAGCAATAGCTTTTAAGTTCCCAATAAAATCGCATTATGGTCACCCTACTGTATATTTCTTTGACAAAAAATTTAAAAACGAATATCTCGTGAATAAATTCCGTCACAAATTCTCTCGCTTGTGAAGACGGCGCCTTTGACTGTCAGTTGAGTTGAGCGAATACGGTTGCTTTTAAGTTTTCTAGAATTCAATACAAGTAGAGATCTAGCCGTGGCTCTGAGAGCTTGGCGATACTCTAGCAGGGTTACACTCTGCTAAGTAACGTTGCTATTAGTCTCAATTTCGTAACGAATTAGAATCAAAAATGAATTTTAAAATCAAGGTGTGACGGCGCTGCTTGCCTGACCCGGACACAGTAAACGATGGGAGTGTGGATATCAAAATAAAGTAAAACATGATATCTGTTCTTAAATTTATTCTTATCAATTAAAATACAAATTAAACACAGCAAGTTAGAATGCATATCTCGTTCTAATGTCTTCTAGTTTTTTGGATACTTCAGCAGGTGTTCTTTCGAGGTCTCCCGCAATCGCCTTCTGTTTTGCAGGATCCAAAGAGTTGAACTGCTCACATAAGTCGCCATCAATGACATTCTATAAAAGGAATAGAATCTTTAGGACTGTCGAAATCACTAAATATATGGAATATATATTATTTAAAAATATAAATTTAGTATATTAATTTTTGTTTGTTCTAAATACTACAGGAACATCATGAGATGTGCCCGACTCTCAAGAACAGTGTAATCAGCAGCAGCACGAGGCTACCATAACGGTAAGCTCACGCACTGTCGCAAGATCACACTACTCTATCAACAGTGTAACACAGCTATTTTCAGAAATGATACTAGCTGTTGACTGACTGTTGATATAACCCCTAGGCCCGTATTGAGGAAGATTTACAAAAAAAAACATGAAAACAATAATATTAATGAAGAAGTATTTAAAAAAAAAGCACTAAAAAAGCATTTTTTTAGATGATAGAAGGTTTTTGCAATGCTTTATGGGTACATATATACACATACATGGTTCAAATATTAGTAGGACGTTAAGTCAATGGAATTTTACTAGCTAACTAACCTTTACAGGGTAGTAGTAGCTCCTGAATGATAAGTGGTCGCGCCCGCAGAGTGGTGGATTTTCGCTTCTCATGTGCATCTCTAAGTGCTGGAAGAAATCATGGTCTTCTCTAGATGTGAATGGTAGAAGTACTCCTAAAGATCCACTGATCGTTGCATAAAGCAGCGCTTCAGATCCACCAGGAATCAAAGTGGCCCTTTGTAATGATGTTATAGTTTCGCCAACATGAAAATTGACTACTATTTCTCCTTTTTGTGATGCCCCATTCAGCAGACCTGTAAATAATTTTAACGACTATTATTTGGACTAAAAGTAATAATAAATTAATGTTGAGATTTAAAGATCAGAAATAAAATAAGAATCATTAATTTTCATAAGTCTAGCATGTGAATAAATTGATATCATCACAATAATTGTAAATAGGGTAAGGCAATTCATAATAATAAATAGTATTTACCTCTGTCCCAAAGTGCTTTGTTTCCTGTGGGATCTTCATCCACATCATCAGATACAGACTGTGGTAATCTCATTATAGCCACATTGCCAAACTTATCTGACATAGCAACAGTGTCATAATCCAGGATACATTCATTGGTTATCCATCTAGGATTCGTGTCGTCTGCAAATATGATCAATTGGTTTTCCCTTTTTTTGTATTTGACACAGAATACAGATTCTTGTACGTCGGCAGCGTAAATTCTTTGGCCAATGGTTTTGAGATCAGCAATAAGATTTGGAATGTGTCGGTTTTCACATTTTCGTAATAATTTTCGTCTGCCGATGTCGTATAGCCTAAGCATACGACCTACGCCCGCTAGTAATCTTCCGTTGAATGCTGCGACGGCACCAGGGTACTCGTCCACTGGAGTTTTATGTACTAATTCTAACTTGCCTGTATTGTAAATCTACAAAATAATAATAAATGTTAGTACACATAACAATTTTGTCAAGAGTAAATAATAAACATTATGTTATATCCTCAGATCTGGTTAAGTGATCTTCAAAATGATCAGTTAGATTTAGGAGCGAATTTGTTTTTCATCATTGGAAATTATGACTTAGGTTAAAACGAAGTTTCGAAATTGATACTTTTATATTGAATTTTGTTCAATTTTGAGCTCTCAATTTTAAATCATTGCAGCCAAATGCATTCATTGTCATTTGTAGTAAAAATTTGAATGTCAAAGTCCTTCAACATTACAACACTATTTTAAATAAAACTGCCATTTCAACAGAGTTGATCTTAAATATGAATGAATAAAAAAGAATCCCATAGATAACATACAACATTACCTTGTATACATGCAGGCTGCCTTCAGTGCAGGAGCGTGGTGACAGTACGAGATCCTTGGCGACTCCTACGACTAGATGCGTGTGCGCATGGGCGGCGTGCGTGGCGTGCGCGGCCCACCTCACCACGCACGCGCTCACCGCCGCCTCGTTCTGCTCCAGTGGTAATTTGAATAGAGTGTTGGGTTGCCCCCCACCTATACCCATGTCCACTACGCGAATTTGAGACGCCCACATACCTATGGAAGATAATAATGTATTAGATCTCAATGAGAATTAAGTTTTTGTTTAAGAAAGAAAGTGGTATAAAATTTACATTAAAACTGTCTATTTTGGAGTTAGTTTTTTTCTTCTTACTTATTATAAGTTAATCTTTTTCATTTGCTATGGGGCTCGCAGATGAATATAGCCAATTTTGTCACAGTAAAATAAATTTTCTTTCATTAAAGCACACACGTCAATGAACAAAATTCTCTATGGCGATGATTATAGACATATATTGTAAAGGTGCGTCGTACCACACCATTTCTTTTGTACAAACTTTTTGGCTTTGTTCTATAACATAATTACTTATTTAATATAAATTTTTCGTAATTTGAAATTTTGAGTAATGCGATATGTTCTTTCTGAATGGCAGTTCGTGAAAATTCTTCTATCAGAACATACTTAACATTAGATTGTAATAAAAAAATATTTAAGTAATTTGTTAAAATCAAATATGTTATAAATTTCCAACATGATCAATATGTGATATATTTTAAAGGAAACACAGAAACGTCATAATTTTAGAATTGAATACTATGAAACAGCTGACTAGACTTGATATGTATGTTTATAAAAAACTCTAAAAACAAAATATATATATATATACTATATATTTTCTTCGGTTTCATTTTCTTCAAACACCTAAGAACCAAATTCATCACAAAATCTACTCTTGCAAGAGGGTAAACAATAACTTTATAAAGATACTTTATCAAATTGTTTCAAATGCTTGAATCAAATGACTCACAGGAGCCATCTGGGATTAACGCAAAGATTTGATATGGCCATACCCGATTAGAGTCAGTATGCTCGATGACATTTTCTGCTCTTGCCCAGAGAATATGGCTAAAAATATCATCTAAATGACCGACTCACCCATTCCCGCTTTGGGTGATGAAAATATATTTTCAGGTAAAACATCAGAGAGAAAAGCGTCCGCCATTTCATTAGCAAGTTGTTGCTCTTCAGGCCCGCCGCCAGCTGCTGCTTCCCTCATTTCTTGTGCCATTTGTACTCTGTTTTCAAATATCAATATTAGCATAAATTGATTCCATTATTGTAACACATTGGATTTTTATTTTTAATCAGTACTGCAGGAGATCTACATAAAATTCAGGTTAGTGTGTAATTATGTCATCACATTTCAATATTTTTACACTTAAAATATAATTTATAATACACTTACCGCCTTTGTTTCTTCATATCTTCTGTGTAAGAGTTATGGTCAGTCTCTAGTATTATTATATGGTTGTTGTCGTTGTTGATGACAAATTTCCTAGGAGTATACTCTAGTGGCACATAAGTTTGGTTAAAGACTGCGCCCAGTTTTTCAAGTGCCAAAATTCTTAAAGTATTTGATGAGATTGCAACAATACCTTCAGCGCACTGTTCTGCAATGACATAACAATAGACATAAGAATCATGAAGTGTAAGAAGTATGAAAAAAGTAAATTAAATAAAGTTTGTCCATTGCATGGTTTTGCCGCCTTCATAGTCTAAACGACTCCAGCTCGGCTATGGAATATGCAAAGTCCATCCTCACCCAAATAGGGAGGATGGTATAATCTACGACGTTGTGGGCACATCACTGCATAGTGCAGCTACACACCACTTTTGTATGGCAACATCCAAAGGTGTCATCACACAAAACGTCGATATATATTTATTTTGACTGTTGAAATGTTATGCAAATTCAGAAACTCAAAAAGTATAATTCCACACTCTCAGACACGTAATTCTGATGGTAGCTTCGTTTGGCTGGTGCATACAGTGCAGAGTTTTGGCAGTTCAATGCTAGGCGAGTCTGAATATGCTATGACCACTGGTCTTTACCTTGGTATAAAGTAATAATAAAGATTGATTTATTACCTGAACTAAATCCAGCTGCATATTCCAAACATTCATATGATAGTGGTGTTAAATGGAATCTGTTTTGATAATGATAACCAAGCCATGTTCTAGACGAAACAGCAAGCACAGCTTCAGTTGCCTGCACTCTTACTTTAAATAGTTTCACTGGTCTCGATCCAAGGTACCTGTTAAATTATAAACTTTTTAAGAAGACTAAGATGAGAAAAATGTTTCTAGTGATTTTCATATAATATCTCAGATCTGGTTAATTATTCGTCAAAATCTTTCAGATGAAACACGGAGCGAAAAATTCACATCATTGGTAACCAGTAACAAAGATCATTTAATGTAAGATATAAAAGTATATACCTTGTCCTGGTATCTGCCAAGTCACCACTAACGGAGTCTAAAGTTGTTCTTAGTAATACTCCATTACTAAGCCCAATATTGAGATGTAATGCAGACTTTGCCCCAGATTCAAATGGTTGTTCAACAATACACAATGATTCTGCTCCAGCTGGTAAGGCTTGCATAGATCTAGGAGATAGACAATCCTAAAATAAAGAATGTTATTGATTATCTGAATATCTACAATACTGTTGTAGTTTGTAAGTAAAAAAAATCAGAAGTTTGAGAATAACGCATTTTTGGGTTTTTGTAATCACACTATTCAGTGGTGTCCTTTTATCATCATGGAAAGTTTAAATTGTACAAGTGAAATAAAAATTTACTTACAGATGGATCCAATGAGATTATCCGAACAGTGTTATCACTGAGACCAACTGCTAAAAACCAAGCTCTTTGTTCACCAGTTGCTACAGATCCCAGTGCCATGCATGATACATCTGAAGATAGCTTCTTCCGTTCGGTGTATTCATTTAGCTGACCAGTCTGTCAAAATAATCCTATGTAAGTGCCATCAACAGTAATGGAGTGCAAACTTTTGAAGCATTTAAAAAACACCAGAATTTTAGCATATTTAACTAATTAATCTTGGACACCTGGTGCATATCAATATAATTATTATATAATATTGTGGATGCAAAATTGATCAATACAGAAAAAAAAAGTTTGTCCATGGCATGGTTTTGCCGCCTTCACAATCTAAACGACTCCAGCTTGGCTATGGAATATGCCAAGTCCATTCTCAACCAAACAGGGAGGATGGTATGATCTACGACGTTGTGGGCCCATCACTGCATAGTGCAGCTACACACCACTTTCATGCAAAATCACCCAAGGGCAATCTTACACAATACGTCGGGAAGAAAATTAGTTAAAGAAAATACTTACAGGGTCCATCTCGAAATAAACAAGTTCTCCACCTGTTAACGCTATGACTACTTGTCTTTGATTTACGGCGCATTTTACAATGGATTTTTTTCCTGGCGCTTTCCATTCATTGACGCGTTTGTCAGCTCTTATGTGCCTGATACCGTCAGGATAGACCTGGACCAGCGCGTCGTTGCCTAATGCATGGCAACTTAAAGTTGGTGTAGTTCCCAAAAAGCCAGAGTCTGTTACTTCTTCAACAGTTTCCCCAATAGAGAGTACAAGTGTGGCATTTACGAATGATACTATGATGTAAGAATCATATTCCTCTGCAACCAAAGAAAAATTCTATGATAAAATAAGGTTATATAGTATTAGCCAGTTAATATTGAACTCTTCTAGATGTGGCCTCCAGGGAAGACAATAAGTAGCCTCCGATGCCTACCTCTGATTTTGATGTAAGCATCTTGTTGATCGCCCAATAGAAGATTCTGTAAAGAAAAACCACTGGTGTTTATGTATAACAAACAACCAGGGTTTTATTAGTAATTTGTTGATAAGACTGAAGAGCATTGTTCATGCTCTTTATTTGAATATATCTTAGAACTGTAATGGCTTACTCTTAAGACTTTTCTGCAATTGCATAGTAGCAATCTTCAATATTAAACGTAATTTATTATAAAACAAAAACTGTAAGGAAGCATTCATATGTATGGTACCATCACATTTGTCAGAAACACGGACCAATGTTATAATCATATGCTCCTTTATATTTAGGTATTTTTATATAATAAATTTTGGTTTAATTAAAAAAGTGGAAAGAAATATTAATTAGCTTTTTTTTCTTTAGTTATGAACATAAATATTCCTGGAAGCAATCATTCATGTTGTTATTCATTGAGTGATCAGTTTAATGGAGAATAGAATAAAAAAAAAATACAGCTGTTTACTTACCATCTTTGTGCCGTCTAACAGTCCATACTGCATTTGGGGAACCTGGTAGTTCCGAGACCGCCATCTCTGCTACTTCTAATCCATGTCTTAATGCTCTTATTGAAGATCTTGGGCCACGCCCACATGCTAAGTATACTTGAGGAGTATCTTCACCAGCCAAATCGGCGACGTGACATGCTTTAAACATATTATAGCCATTAAAACCTATTTATTTTTATTATGTTTCGATATGTCTAAATGGAAATATATATCTATATACCTAATATTGGAGAAAGTGAATCTAGTTCATCCACCAGTACCAGGTTTCTCAGTAGCCTTGGAGCAAAAAAGAATGTGTCACCTTCTTCCAAAGGCATAGCTGAACTGAATTCTGGCTCATCATCCTCATCACCCAAGTGAGCAATTTGGTATAAATAGCTGAAAGAAAATACATTTATAAAAAAAAAGGTCACATGATTAGTTAATGAGAATATTACTCAATATTGATTTGGAACTACATCAAAATTTTAATTTATATCAGGCCATTTTAGTTTTTAGACTTTCTGAGAAGTTATTTTTGTTTCTACATATGGATAAGTTAATGTTTTAGAGGCAACTGTGTACATCTCTAATCAGTGTGCACTCACCCCATATTGAAAGGGAGGACCTTGGTTCAGAGATTACTTTTCTAGCATGTTTTAAATAATAGTGTGCATTGGAACAATCCAATCCCACAGGCTCACATGCATATAATACTTACGAAAGTATTTCAAAGGGCACAAATACTTACTGGTTTCCAAATTCACAAGCAACAAACAGAAACCCAGTTTTAAGTACACACATTGATGTTGCCACTGGTACTGTATCAAAATATTTAAGTTTAATTTCTGTGACCATATCTTCATCTGTTTCTATAGTAATTTTAAATATATCACCCTGCTCAGTTTGTGCCAAAAAGAAGAACATTGATTTTGTTTTATGCGTTGCTGAGCAAACAAATATCATGCCTCTTTCAGGATCATCTAAATCATTGCGCCGTCGAGGTATTGGACATCTAATGTCATGTTGATCACCAAGATTTTTGTATGTAAGATAATTTTCAGAACAGATGAGTACTCCAGAAGGGCCATCATTGCCTCCAGGCACTGTTATCAGGAAGTTAGCATGTTCTTCCAGAGGTTCAGAATATTTCCTAACCACATGGTTCAAACCCAAATCCAATTCATAGAAAGTCAATGTTTGTTGAGTTTTTTGAGCAGCTTCCCCTGATAATAAAATTGTTTGATATGTATTTCATAGCTTAATAAAAGAAAGATAAAGATAATGGGTATTTTATTCATAAAAGAGGATTTGGCGTCACTGTCAGTCAGAAACACGGACCTCGAAATAATCATTATAGAACTCATATTCTCAATTATAATATAAATAATATCTTACCTGTGGGGTCAGAGTCAGCTTCTTCATAGTCAATTTCTAGACAAGCAAACATAGGGTTCTCAAAGCCAACATCCACACCAACCATGTGGTATACCAAAGTGTTTGACTTATGAGCCTCTAATGGGGATGAGATTGTTAATCTAGCTTCTGCATCTCTGTTTAAAATATATACCAATTTTTGTTTTTCAATAGCACCTAAAATAAGGATTATTTTAATATACATGCTGTCATCTCTTGATAAAAGTTCAATATTATTACAAGTTGACATTCAGAGTTAATTCTATGAATATGTAACATAATAAAATTGCTCTAACCAATCCAAAATAAATTGTTATATGTATACTCTTTAAAATATAGATAAAAGAGAAGATAATGTTACTTATAACATATTTTAAATATTGTTGATGACAAAAAACATTTTGATAAATATTTACCAATCATGACTGCTCTTCCTTTAGGATCAATAGCTAAATATTGTCCAGGGACAATGCGTCGGCATCCTGATTTTCCAAATGTTTCTTGGTGTACTTTTTCTAAAATATTTTTGGCTGGAATGTACTCCAAAATAACGATACGACCAGAGTCTGAACCAATGACAATATAGTCTGAAATAAGATTACAACATTTGAGCACCAAAGTGGAACTGTTTTGACTGCTCATCTTAGTAATGCTACATTAAACATGGGTTAATAAGATTAGTACAAACATAAGCTTTAGTATCTAATTTATTTATATTTATTTCAATCAAGATGGCTTGATAAATATCATTTAAATACTTTATTACAGTCAGTTTTCCATTGAAGAATAACGATTTTGTTACACAAGGTTTTGTAGATATAAACTGTGCCAATCCATCATACATCCCAATATTCACTGCTAGAATACCAAGTGCGACATGTTGGCATCTAATCTATGCATCTAGTTATCCCATGATTAAACTGTATTAAAAGCATGGAGCAAGACGATGCACATAGGTTTAAATAAGGCGAATATACAAAGGCATATGCGACCATTTGGAGGTTATGCTCTGTGGTTGTAGACCACGTGTTGACCATACCAACCTTTTGTTCCACCAGTTAGACGAAACGCCATCATAGACCGAATGATTCCGAATATCTCCACCTTCATCAGAGTATGCACTTTTCCAGTATTTGGATCAGGCCGCAATAGCTCCAAGATTTTCCCTCGTGATATCACGATTTCTTGTTGCTTTGTGCCCGAAAAATTACCATGCACTGCATGAGTTATAGACGTAGAGCCTTGCAGCGTGAGATTATATAAATACATATTGCCGCCTTTAACTCTGCTCTGAAATAAAAGACGATTTTAGTTCATAAGAGAAAACATCTAGAAGTCGTATATGCTTTACGTTTCACGCAAATAAATTGAATTGAATTATTATTGGTACAGTGTTTGGTTTGTAACTATCGAAAACAGAGACATTACTGTGCTTTCAAATGGGTAAACCAAATTCTATTGCACCGCTTTACGACCACAATACACATAATGGAACATTGCGGAGATACCTGGTGCAAATACAATACAAATAAAGTAATTTTATAAAATTGAATTAGTGATTAATACTCACGTTCACTAAATAATGGATGATCGCCGCGATGCGGCCAGATTCTTAGTTTACTATTGGCACTATCACTAAACGCCGGCAAAATGGCGGATTGAAAGAACAAGAGCAGCCTCATGTCGATTACAGACAAACTGACCAATCAAAAAGAAGCATTTTCAGTTAAGTCGCTCTGTTTTATAGACTCGGGACTGCCAGATAAGAAAAATAATGTCTATGGAACATGGCATTCATGTGCCGCCATCTAGTGATGAGGAGCAAACTTTGTCCTTCCTTTCGACACTAGAATGCGCTACATCTTATGAAGAACTGTACATTAGCATACTATAGTAAATATATTATTTTTATTGGTTCGTGTGTAATGTAGGTGGCGTTACTAGATTTTGTTACAAAGAGAATTCGGAGAAAAATAGGTGAAAAAACTATAACATTTGTCTGTGTATGTAAGCTACTATTAACGTTGGCTTTAATTGATATTTTTTAATGAGAAGGCAAAATTTTCTTGGTGCAGCTGGCTTTTCTCTTTTAATAACAAAAATTGTTTCTTTTTTTTAATGCAGAATTGGTCAAATATTTATTTTTACAAAGGACATTTTCTTCACGTCATTGAAGTGTTCCGTGCTGAGGTTTTGTTACTGATAACAAATAGGCATACTACATTCAGATTTTGCGGAAAATTTCTTTAAATGTGTTTATGAAATTGGTATGTTAAGTCAAGACTGTCGTCCAACCAAATGGTATTTCTTACTTTTTTTACTTTACCAACTTCAGTTCAGATTAATTTAACACTTAGGTCGCAAACCGGACACCCACATTTCAATGTTGAGTACCTACAGAGACTCTAGTATCCAGTATAGTTTAACTTCTAACACAAATTGAACCTTAAAGAATTTCTCACTTCTATATTGACTTTCTCACTTTAATATCATGTATCAATTAGGTGTTCTGGAGCCATCGTTCAGATATCCTTTTTGAGCGAAGATTTTAGTCTGTGAAAGGTTGCGAGATAGATAGTTATTTTTTCTTAATTTGATTTTTAAATATTTACTTTCTTATAGGCGGTACATATTCACCTTCTTGGCGAGTAGAAATATAAAAGAAGGAGAAGGCGAGAAACATTACATTCACGAGTCTCGGGTGTTCTTGAGGCTTTTCCGGGCTATTACATAAAATTGAAGTAAAAACTTGGTATAGTAGCAGGTAATCTCCACTTAAATTTCCATTATTATTTGTTGTCTTATTGTCTCACCGTATCATGCGTTTTTCAATATTTACTTTATAAAGCTCTAAAACGCGGAACAAAATAAACTTGTGCAGTGGCAGAGTAATGTTCAAAGGCCAAGGATCGTACATACGTGAAACGGACAGAACGTGGGTCGTTGGTGCGGCCCTGAACAGGTAATTGACAACACTATGATCGCTTATTAAAACATTTAACTCACTAAACGAAACCGTGATATTTCATATCTACAGTAATATGACCGATAGACTTATTGAATCACGTGTGGTGGGTGGTGTATAATAAGAAAAACTTTAAGTGCCGAAACATCTATAAAATTAATAAATATAGTCCTTTAATAAGTGGAAAATGTAGATTATTCTTCAAAACAACTAGGTATAAGGAATTTAGCGAGCTTTAATGTTAATAATTATTATTAATTCTATATGTACACTATTGTAACTTTGGTTAACAACTTTTAGAGTAAAGTTAACGAAGTGTAAATAAAACACGTCATATTATCCACTGTATCTTTATACAAATTATTGTGTACCGACACAAATAAATATTTGTCAAGATAAAGAGTCAGTTCCCAACTGGTCGGAATACTCAGGTGCGCGGCGCGGATACATTGTGGAGCGGCACAGAAAATAGAATTAAAAGACGCGTCACAATGGGCCACCGCTCACGACGCACGAATGCGTTCTTCCTAATCCCACAGGCTATCAGTATTCAGGTGTCTCGACGAAACTGCTCTGTTGAGGTGCAATTGCATTTGTTGTTCGTAAATGCTTTGTACTTTTTTACAAGAGCCTACTTTATTTTCCCAAACAAGTTTCAACATGCTTAAATGTTAAAATGTGCATAAAGTTGATTTGGATATTGTACCTATATTTCTTGATACTTACACATCAGATCTCTGGCGGCACAGGCTTCAACTTCAAATATTCATTTTTAGTAATAAAATATTGGTTTCTTTTTTCTTCTATATACATAACGCTACAGTTTGTTTTTATTTCGATAAGTAAGCAGGTATAGTGCGTAATAGATTTGGAAGTAGAAACAAATACGTCAATAACTGCTGCAGCTGACCCGACATACTTGCTTTTGACTTATGAATTTGGGATGGACCACCCTTATCATTTACGGGTATAAAAATAGATAACAGCCTATTCTCAGACCACCTGAATATAATATCAAATTTGGTCAACATCTGACCGATTTGACCGAGCCGCTTCGGGAAAATATGGTCACTAAAACTGTGACATGAGAATTTCATATATTAGATTTATTTTATTAAATTATATATTTAGTCTGGGTATGTGAAAATTAGTGACATGGTTAATACATATATGGGAGAGACAAGAAACTAAATTTTTTTAAATATATTGTTTTCACAATACCTTTAATAGCGTCCAATCCGCATTGGGCCAGCATTGAGCTCATCCTCCTTATCCAATCACATGGAAGGCCTGAGCCCCTGCAGTGGGGACCGGACTGATGATGATGATGAAATCCTTGATTAATTTATTGGAATATACTATATCTTTAAACGGTCATTTATTTTGTTTTAAACATTGGATTGTGTCCACTAAACGTCTTTGAAACTAATTAATGCATAAGGTTGTTCATTACGTACGTCTCGATCCAGTCCGCTACTGTGTAATTATTGGTTATAATTACGACCCGTAGTGCAAGATAGCGATTTTGATTGCCGTCTAGATTGGTGCAATTAGTCTGTGTAACGGTTGTATTTGTTGCTGCAGTTTGGTGCTAATTGATTAGTGGACATTCTCTAAAAATATTCCTTCTTACTTTTAATCTAATTTTTATGTTTTTTAAAGACGGCATTTGTTGTAGAATTTTTTTATTTGACAAGAGCTGTGTTATAAGTTGAAACAGAGATTTCTGTAAATAAAATAATGACTTCAAAAACTAAAACCCGACTACAGCTAAACCACGCTATAAAAGTTTGAAACAAGAAAATTTTATAGCGATAGATACATTATAATAGTGATGACCAAAGGACAGCGTAGTCGTATGCCATTGATCATAACAAAACAAGTTTTATAATAGAAAATAATGATTGCAATTTAGTTTCTATATCACGGATTTTGGGAAATGTTATTATAACATCAAGTCGTCAGAGCCATTTTATGAGAAGAAAAAATCTCGAAGTCGGAGTATGTACCGTAATGTTGCATTTTCCAACTTCAAAATCAAAAAGAAGCAGGGTAAGTTAGGAGGCGATATATGTTTTTTAAAGTGTGATTGCTGTTTTTTTAAATTGATCAAGCGTTTGGAATTAGCAATATTTAATCATCAATTTTTGAATCGTCCAGTAAGTAAAAATAAATCTTCATACAAAAAAACTTAGAAAATGAACCTACTCATCTTAATTCTGGTGAGTTGATGGAATTGTGGCGAGTAGAGGAGATTGTGATGAGTCGAGAGGATTTGATGAATTACTGAGGTGTTGTGTGGGATAGGTTCGTATGTGACAGTGTGGCGTGTCAATGAGTAACGGTGTTTGGGTATGGCGCGTGGCATTGTCATTGTCAAATGTTTATTAAACAATGTTTCGAGGAAATTGAAACTAAACAGAGTTTATTATAACAAAACAGGACGCGTTTATTGCTGTAGCTGACGATGCGTCATTAGTCTAGTAATATCATCTTCAGAAATATATTTTGCAACGGATATTCGTGATTATGAGGATCTTTTTCATTTCAGTTTTATGGTGTAAAATTGTGATTGGAGGTTTGCCACTTTGAAAGTAATGTTATGTTGAAATATTATTTCTGTACGCTTACAGAACGGATGTAACGTTTTATAGTCTTCATTTATAAAGAAATTCCTATTTGACGAAATGGCACAGCCAGTGTATCGGAATGCAATACGAGCAGCCCTAAATCTGAGTGTAAACATCCCCGCTACCCCCCTTGCTGGTGGCTCGATATTCACAGTTTTGAAAGGGTTGCTGATTTATATTCTGTGTAAAAATTTAATGCATTAATGCATTAATTTTAAATTGCGTGAAAAGCTTTATTGGTTTTAAATACCGTGAAAACTATGAGATTATTTTTTGTTCAGCTAAATAAAAAAGTTGTCAGTAAATTGAAGACATTTTAAAGTGCTCATATATATGTTATTTTTATTCGACGGATATGTGTGATTATTTAAATTGATACTTAGAGTCTCAGAGAATGTCTGATAAGAAAATGAAGTAGGTTTGTTAATATTAAACTTGAGAGATAACCCTAGTGTTCCCCAAAGTAGACATGCACCAGGCCCTCCTTTAATAAAACATCTCGATAATGAAAAGTCAGACAGTCATAGAGGGTGGCGAATAAACCCTCCGTTCTCGAGCACTCACATTTGACCGAAACTAGCTTTTATGAGCACAAGCAGAGTCGCTAAAATTAAACGATGGGGTACACAGTGCGCAATAAATATCTTAATGATATGGAATCAGAAAGTATCTTTGAAAACGTCCAGATCAAAAAGACGTATGTATCCCCGTTTGTGACGTGAAATGAGTTTTATGTTTTTTATCGAAGGTCGGTTATGATTTTAATATTTCCCGTGTACAGGATGAAAGGCATTTGACATTCATTGCATTTTATTCGAGCGGGCACGTGCGGAGCCACCTGTCGCTGATTCTGCACTTGTACGTGTCGTGTACCATTTAATGGATAAATGCTAATTCTTAATTGCAAACCGTGGAACGGAAATGTATGTAGGTGATATTTATTCTGCATAATTCCTTGCAACTGGAGCTAGTAAGGTTTTATAGCTGATGGAATACATTTTCCTATAGATTGCGATTTCGTTATAACTCTTTAAAACTTTCAGATAGTTTACCAATAC